AGGGAAATGTTTATAAAGAAAGAATGTTAAAATGATATCTTAACACATTCTAATGAGATTTTAAGGAGGGTGGAAAGTTATGGTTATATTCTAATAGAAAATTAATGATAATTTTCCAAAGTTGATGTAAGATAGAAAAATAGATTCATAAACCCCAAAAAACTCTATCATGAATTAATAAAAACATATTCATACATATGTACATTTAGAAAAATCTGTACAGGGAAATATCTTTTAAACATATGAGTCAACATTGTGTTCATCAGTTCTAACTAGATTTTTTATAGATTCAGTACAATTCACTTAAAAATCTCTGATATCTATTTTTTTTTAGAAATTTATAACATGTAATTCTAAAATTTATAAAGAAATGTTATGTACCTAATGAAACAAAAGTAGAAAAAGATAGGAAAACTCCTATTATCTGGCTTAAAGGTATAGGTTATATTTTATAAATTTTACAAATGCATTTCAATAAAAATGTAATTGGAGGATATAAGTTGGTCATTTAGAACATGCAGAACATATGTGTTAGTAAACCTTAGCATGAAAGTGTGTGTTCTATGATCTGAGTGGCCAATACACCATTTGTGCTAAAATATATGAATGACAAAAACACAAAAAAAGATGCTGAATACTATTAGTTATCAGTGAACTGTAAATTAAAACAAAATGAAAACTTCTTATACATTAGAATGATTTAAATTAAACAAGACTGAAAATATGAGGTATTAGTGAGGACACAGAACACCTGGGACACATCTGTGTTGCTATTGGTAAAAAAATTATATACTCTTTGGAAAAGAATTTAGCAATTTCTTAAAAGAATAAACACAGACTTTACCACATGTCCAAACAATTCTACTCCTAGATATTCATCAAAGAAAAATGAAAATATATGTCTATACAAAAACTTGTACTCAAATATTTATACTAACTTTATTTATAGATGAAAAACTAAAAACAACACAAATGTTCATCTAGTACATCACAAAAGTTCATGATTGGACATTGTGAGGTGAGTGGATAAAACTTATTTATAGACATAAAATGAAACGCTGCTCAGCAACACAAATAAGGAAACCCAAAAATGTATATTTGGAAAAGGAATAAAAGAGAAAAATAATATAATCTATCCAAATAAATGAAAGAAAACTGGAAAAAGGAAGAATAGGCATATATAATGAAATGGTAACATTTAAATGAATCTGTAATTTATATAAGTATAAATAAATATAATCTTTAGTTAAAATGTAGAAATTGTCAGAAAGAAAATATACTCATCTCGGCCTTTTTTATTATACATAAATCATGAAGATATAGTTTGAAAATTATAAAATATAACGACTGATAGCATGAACTAATAAAAAGAATTCTGGTGATTTTTTTTTTTTGTTATGTTGAGGATTGAACTCCAGGTTATCATACGTGTTAGGCAGGTGATTATAATTTTAGTATTATAAAACCATCCTTTTTAATGAAAAAGATAAACTGGGTTAGCCCAAATAATAATAATTTAATTTTCCAAGTAATTAGAATAATTCAGAACTTCTAGGAAATGAATAATAGACTTTAAACTACATTTCAAAAATTAACATAATAAGGAGTGATTGAGGAGTACACCATCTTAGTGGGTATTTTAACATACCTTTTGCAACAAAATAAACCACTAATCAAGTTCATCATGGGATAAAGATAGCTCTATAGAGAGATTCCTTTATCTCAAACTTGCAAAAACACTATGTCTTTCTCATCATCTCTTATGTCTTCTCTTCAACAAAATTGGAGAAAAAGAGGTTGGAACAGGTTCTGCCCAGAAGCTGCCGGGGTGAGGGGCAGTTGACCCAAACATTGTACATACATGTGAATAAATGTAAGAATGATAAAAAAAAAAAGAAGCCAATGAAGAGTCATAAGTAAGCAACTCATGTTTCCAAGGATTTCTGTCACTCAGATCTATTATCTGATCACAATTCAGTTATAACCAAGCTCAATAGCAGAAGGTTATCAAAAGTCTTCACTCTGAATTTAGTACAAAATGATACAAATAATTCAGAGGAAATAGACTTCCTGGAAATTTAGAAATACTGAATTTTAATAACAGTACTAGTAGAAAGCAACTCAGGGAGTTCCTCAAAGGGATGCTGTGTCACAAATGCTTATATTCGAAATGAAGAATGCTAAAAGAAATAATTTAGACATTCAACTCAATAATTGAAGAAAACATTGTAAAAGGTAGAATCAGTAATGACAAGTGTAGAAATTAGTGAAATAGAGAAACAAAGAAAAGTAGAGAAGAACAATTAAGCCAGAAAAATATGGCTCATTGAAAACCAGGGAGGGATGGAAGTTTGGAGAGGAGACAAGAAGGGAGAGAAGAACAATAGAGAGAGAACCTCCAAGAGCAGAGTGCTCTAGCAAAAGCAGAAGTTCCCCAAGCCATGCTGGGAATGAAAATGGATCATGACTACCACTAGTAAAGTGATTAAACATGTCAGAGGATGTTATGTAGTACTCTTTGCAAATACTTTTGAAAAGTTATATAACATGGAAAAATCATCCTTTTGAAAGTGCTAAAAGTAACTGCAGAAGAAATAGGACAATCTTGATAGTCCTTTAGTGAATAAATAAAATTAAATATCAACTGAAATATTTTCAACAAAAATATAACCCAATGGTGTTACAATCTAATTCAAAATTTAAAGCAGATTTTCCAGTCCATAGAAAAAGCAAGCATATTACTCCTGAACCAATTTTATTCATTTAATATAACTCACTTAGGAACTGAAATAAAACAAGTATTATCCAAGAAAAAAATTCAAGGTTTAGTAAGTTTTAATGTAAATTATGTTCCTTTACATGCTTATAATTTATAATTCAGTCACAAAAGTACATAATTGTTTAGTTGAAATGGAATATTTCTTCCACTTAAATAAAATTTTTTATGTCCTATGTCAGGCTTCATGTTCAGATTTCCAGTCACTTGCCAGGATGACCACGATTCCCCGCATACCAGTTGAGGATGAAATACCAAATTGTAAATTTTTATATCTGGAACTCAAAGCTTAATTCTTTCAGGTTTTCTGGTTAAAAACTAAATTCTTTAGCTGATGTGGAAGGCCTTCTAAAGCCTGTACCAAATTGTCTTCCATTATTCCCAAATGTGAATTTAATTATAGTTACTTACTTTTTTTAATGTTCTCCAGACATAAAATCTTTACTGACATTATATTTTCAGGGGACTTTTCTGTCTCCTACCTCCTGATGGGTTTTTACTATGTAGTTCATGCTCTATTTTTTACATGAGATATTTTACGAACTTTTGAATATTCTTTTAATTTTCATAAATGTTTATAGAATTCTTTTGGTCCTTTATGCTTATTTATGTGTATAAAGTAGAGTCCTGAAATATATAAACCCCCAATTCTTTGTAAATTATTTCATATATCAGGACCATCAGTAAGAAAAAATGCTCTCCACTGCATGTGACAAAAACACAAAATATAAAGCTTAATCTTAACTGTTTTTAAGTGGACAGTTCAGAAGTTGCAAGTATAATTATTTATATATATATATAAATATATATATAAATAAATACAAACAGGTATATATATATATATATATATATCTGTTAAGTAGATCTTCAGAGCTATTTCATCCTGCAAATCTGAAACTGTGTATCCATTGTATAATTGGACTTTTCCCCCAAAAAAATTCCATATTCTGTCCCCATGAGCTTGACTATTGTGGATATATTACATAAGTAGAACCATGTGACATTTCTCGATCTTACCTGGTGCATTTCACTTAACACAAAGTCCTAAGGTTCATCAATGCTGCAGAATGTAACAGGATTACAATATATGCCTTTTTTAATCTATGTAGAGTTTCCATTTTTGAATGATTATTTTCTTAGATATTTTCATTAACATGTTTACCATTTCTGATGGGCTTTCATTTTTTTTTTTTACTTGTTTGGGGAATATTGGACAAAAAGCATTTATTGATCCATTGTGTATCACTGACAACCAAAATAGAATAAAAACACTACCACAGTTTGATATTGGGGGAATAATGGTGATGATTTGTGCTGATACTTATTTTTTTCATATGTTAAGCATTTTTTAAAGTATCTACCTGTCAGTCTACTACTAGTTTATGCTTCAGTAAAAATTATCATGTCATAGATCTCTAGATTCACATATGAAAAGTAGAAAATGCACATTTATACCCATGAACACTAAGTGTCTCTAATATAATTCAAAGTCTCCTTCCTTTCATCATGGTATTCTGATAGCATGTTGCCCAGTGATGTGCATAAACTAGGTACTCCACAAATCTATATATGAGGTCTACTTTCCTACTGTTAATGTTATGTTGGTGTTCACATAACAGTTATTGCAGGAGAAGTGAGCATCTTTCAGAAAGCACAGAAGCCACAATTATGCATGCAAGCTATCTTTCAGTTTGTAAGCCCCTCTTTTTTTAAGGAAGTGCTATTCTATGGACAATGTGCAGGCTTCGGATGATGAACTTACTTTTCTCATTTATGGATTGGCTTAAACATCCCCTCATTTAAGGTTTCTTTCTTGATCATTCAATCTATTATCATTAGGTGCTCCTATAGTACTAGCCCTTTATCCATCATTTTTTTAATGTTTCATTATGACTCTCTACTATATGGAGTATATTTTTCATTTATTTTTTCCTATCTGCTTTCCTTTTCCAGAAGATAAGTTTTATAAAAATAGTGCCTTTTTTCTCCCTTGTTGATGCTCTGTTTCTGACACCAGGTAATAATAAAATGCTCCATAAATGGTTGGCAAATGACTAAATGACCGAATGTATGCAATATTAGTTATACTAATTCTTTTAAACTATAAAGCAGAACATTAACATATAATGAAGAATATAATTCTACATATATATATGCAAATATATACACAATACATATATGTATGTGTGGATACATAGGCAGATAAAGTATTTCTATTATTTACCTTTCCAAAAATGCTTAATCTTTTGGAGTCAATGTACGGCTGTTTCAGTAAATATCTGTAATGAAAAATATAAAAACACAGTTATACCTTTTGAGTCAAATGTACACACAAATTTATACTTGGTACACACACACACACACACACACACAAGCATTGGAAATGACTTATTAAGTAGCTCTCTTCATGTGGAAGGGTTATATATTACAGAACCTTTCTACTCAATGTATGGTCCAGAAGTTTGTATCACCTGGGACATTGCTATAAATACAGAATCTTCTATTGCATTCCAGCCCTATTGGGTTAACATTTATATCTTAACAGTAGCTTAGCTGATTTGTATACTGTTGTAAAGAATCTATGAGATCTCATAGTTCACTTTTCATGCCAGTATGATAAACAGTAACTGTGAGACTTAAAAGAATTGGGTTTAACTGTGGAAATAGTAGAAACTATAAATTATTACATATGATTGAGATAGTGATAGTGGTATAATCTCTCACCCATTTTCATAAATTCAAACTAAATCTTAAAATTCCAGATGGTCATTCTTTTGTTATGCCACAATGGGTGATAGGTACTTTAAAAAATATGATAAAGCTATAACCTTAATTTAGATAATTCCCAAATTGCTAAACTAGAAACCTCTAAATCAGTAGTATAAGCCATCCACCTAGATTCAGTCGTTACAGAAAAACAATACAAAAATTTGCACCCACTTACTTTACAGCTGCTATTTGGTCCTTTACTTCTACTGAACCTAACCTTCGATGAATCTCCTGTAAAATTTTCAGGCCCTGGAATCCACTTCCTCTGCCATCAAATCTTGCAACAATGACATTATCTGTGTCCACAAGGACGGAATCCCAGTCAATATGGAACTTATCTGTAACTAACTGGCCTCCTGGTTCTTCATCCCTAAAAATGTCAACATATTGGGTCAAAACAGGAGCAAACGGTGATTTGGTAGAAGCTTTAGCTTTCATAACTACTAATTTACAAAAGTTATTGATAAGACCTATGCTGGCTTTTAAAATTTTCATTAATTCTTTTTGGTAAACTTAAAAGTATAAAGCCATTTTCCTTCATAAGATTTTAATTGAAAAGTCCTTGGAATTAAATGAAAATATGACTTAAAACTGTACAGAGGAGATTAGTTTAACTCATTTTTCAAAACAGAAAATGAAGAAAATATGTAGCACTTTCCATAGACATTTCTAAAGAATGATTGCTAAGTTTACAGGTATATTTATATTGTAGTTCTAGAAATGTGTTTTAGAAATGTCTTGCAAATGGTTTACAAGGGTTAAATGGTCTGAGTTAGCCTAGTTATGGAAACTTCATACCAATTTAACAGGAAATGTAATGTACAATCCTAAAGAATGTTGAGATGAAAATGAAATAATACATTAATATTTCCTGAATTTTTTTCATAATAGAATTCTCATTGAGAAGTTTAAAAATGGGTGAGAAAAATTCTTTTTATCACTAAAGTTGACAACAAGGAAAAGAGGCAGAGACATATGTTTAAAAAATTTGAAACCTATACATAAAGGAGGACACACAAATTATAGAGCATAAGCTTTTTCTCCACATGAAAAAACTGATGCAATTTTAAAATGTCAGATTAAAATGTTATTTATTGTTCTATGTTCTAGGATACATGTAAGTCAACAAAGGAGACTCTCATGAAGTCACACAGATTATGTAGATCCAAACCTAAGAACAGTTCAAACAGTTGTCCACGTAATGGATGTGAAGAGCATCAAAACACCAGCTCTGCTGGTGGAGTGGCTCAAGTGGTAGAGTGCCTGCCTAGGAAGCATGAAGTCCTGAGTTCAAACCCTAGTAACAACAACAACAAAAAAGCAACAAAAAACACCAGCTCTGCATAGTTCTCCATTGTTAGTGGAGCTACATGCCTGAAATCCCTATCCTCACACTTTAAGGGAATGGTGTCAACCCTCAGTCCTTCCCTGTTATGCAAATGTTTACCTAGAAGCACCAATGCACAAAACAATTCTCATTAACGAGCTTTTAAGTTATGAGATTTTCTGGAACAAATAACCTGTCTCAGGAGCAAATGGAGCTAATAACCTAGGCAAAGGGGAAAACAGGGAATAGGACAAAATGCTGAACAACTAAAACTTACTGAATACTGCTATGGGTTGTATTGTGTCCTCCCCAAGTTTATATGCTTAGTCTCTTACCCCAGAAGGCAATATGAAAATATTTTTGGAGATGGGGGCTTTAAATAATTAAATAAGGTAAAATGAGACCCTTGGGATGGGCCCTAATCAAAGCTGATAGCTGCCTTTGTCAAAAGAGAAATTTGGACACACAAGAGATGCCAAAAGTGGCTATACATGGAAGGGGTCTGACACATGACAATGCAGCAAAAGTGAGGTCATCTGGAAGCCAAGGAAAGAGGTTGCACAGGACACCAACCCTGCTGGAACCTTGTTCTTAAACTTCTAGCCTCCAGAACTGTGGTGAGAAAATTAATTTCTTCTTTAAGATACTCAGAAAAACTTAGCTATGACAGTCTATCAAATTAATATAAATGTCTTTTCTGATTTAAGTACTTGAGACATATTATCTTATTTATTTTACTAAATTCTAATTAATCTTTTTGGGCAGGAAGTTGCTTACTACCTTATTACAAATAAGAAATATAAATAAACTGTACTATTTAATCACAACTCCCCTCCATTCTTTCATAAATCTCACATTATACTTTTCCACAGTGTTTACAGCCTCGGCTTTAAAAAAAATTCCAGTAATATCCTTTTATAATAAAAATAATTTTAAAATGTAGTTTTATTTATTTTAATTTTCATCTCTTCACCTCTTGATTAGATAATTGGGAACTAGTTCCTTTACATATATACATGCTGTAACCAAGAATTGTAATTTCCCAAACAGAATGTATTATTTTCAATTCCCAGATGATTCTGATATAGATTATCTAACATTTGAAAACTGACATGAATCATTATGCCTAGCACAGTTTCTGGCATATGTAGAACACAGCCAGTGCTTATTGAACTAGGCCTTTTCAAGAAAAATATACTCAGATGAAGGTTAAAATAAGAAGACTTCAAAAGATTTGAGTTTACACAAAGTCACTGTAGTTTGAAACTTGGGGATTTACTGCAAATATTATGATTCACAGAGGACAAGCTACCAAAGATTAACTTCAGCCTTTAATACTAAACTGTAAAAATACCAGAGCTGGAATCTAAACTTATTCTGAGCATAGCAAGGTACTAACATTCTTAAAACTCTATCTTTACCGATAATAATGGTGAACACTAAACTGTGATGGTTAATCTTGATTTTCAACTGGATTAAACAATGCCTAGAGGATTAGTAAAGAGTGCATTTGGATATATCTGTGAGGAGGTTTCCAGAAATAATTAGATCATGAGAACAATGACCCAATGAGTGGTTTAACTCATTGAGGGATTCAAGATAACAATACACTATAGGGAGGTGGTGGCAGTTGTAAAATGGGGCTAGGATGGAGGAAGTAGGTCAATGAGGGAGTGTCCATATAGGCTATATCTTGCCCTTCCCTTCTTATTACAGTTCCATTCTTCTGCTTGCTGTCCAGTATAATGTAAGCTGCTCTCTATTTCCAGTGCACAAAAAGATGAATAGTCTCTGGCTCACCATGAAGTACTTCCTCACTATAGGTCCAGAAACACAGAACCTAGCAAACGTAGACTGAACCCTCTGAAACCATGTGCCAAAATAAATAATTCTTCCCTTAAGTTGTTTGTCATGTCTATGCTAAGTCTAACTAATAAGCCCTCAAATAAGTTTTTGTAAGCAATAAATTGCATAATCCATTTGAAAATACTTCATGAAATATAATGAGCAAAATCATTAGTCCATAGAACTATTGTACTATCTTATTTGAAATCAAAATGGCTTATATCGAGCATATTTCTTTACAGTTCAAAGTGGTGAACTATATGAAAAATGTTGGCTAGTCATGTAGAAATTAAGGTGGACAATATCTATGGGTAAAACATACATTGTACGAGCTATTATATCAGAAGGGCTTGCATTTTATGAGAGGACTAAAAATATGTAAAACCTTACAAGAATATAAAACGTGCAATCAACAAACCCTTTCAAGTGATTAGAGAAGTGTTAGTTTTTAAATTGAGATTGTCATGGGCTGGAGGTGTGGTTCGAGCAGAAGCTTGCCTGGCAAACACGAAGCCCTGAGCTCAAATCCTAGCACCACCAATGATAAAGTAGTATTCTCTAACCTTAAACTCTGTCAACAGTGCTAAGGAAATAAAAATATTTTGCTTTTTGGATAATATAAGTTTCCAAATTTATATATGACCCATTGCTTTGTTCACAGCTTTTTTGGGAGTTCTTAGCTAAGTTTAGCAAAAAATGTGAATAAATCAGAATTTTATAGAAGGCAAATAAATTATTTTAAAATATTGCTAAAAAATATGGTACATGTTTCAAAATTAGAATTAGTATAAATTTTTCAAAACAAAATCCTTCAGTACCTTATTCATGTTTGCAACATCCAGGGACAAAAATACAATTTTCTACTTTACATCTCTAAATGGCCATTTTTGACTCAAACCTTACATTTCCAAGGATTTAATGTTAGAATATAAAGTGATATCAATATGTTATGAAGCAAAGTATTAGAACATTTCTCTGTCCAGTTGGGAGTGTTGTTCTTTCATTTTGATGCATGACGTAAGCACAGCTATTTGAAGATGAGTTTCAAAGAACAGAGATTTTGAGGCTAAGCATTGCCTTTATAAGGCAGAAGCCAGGCACTTGAGGGAGTATAATGAAGATTAATTGTGCACAAAGTGTTGGAGCAAGAAATACTGGATTTGAAAATAAAGCCAAGTCATAGCACTAATTCAGCGAGGTAGGAAAAGCCAAAATATTTGGTGTTCAGTATGATTACAGGGAGTATACTAATGATCAAATAGGTACCACAACTCATGTTCAAATGGACCATGTGGAAAAGGTGAGCTCCAGTTGATTTGGTTCCTTTATGTTTTTTTTTTTTTCTGAGCATACTTTTCATTTTCCTTCTACAATACTTTGTTTTTTTTTTCCTATTTCAGAATTCTCAGGGGACCCATAGGAAGGAGGATGTTTCAAAGCTGAATGTGGGAGTAAACAAATTTGTTGATATTTGTTGCAAACAAAAAAAATTCCATCTGTTTTAAGCAGTGTAAAGGTCACCATAATATGAAACTTGTCCACTTCCTAACACAGGCAAGAGAATCAAATTAAGACTAAACTTTCTTAGAAGTTTGGTTTTGGAAGCAAAATCTTCTATTCATTACCTTCAGCACTGAATGTGTCAGTATGGATGAAAGGTTCACAACATAAGGATATAATAAAATATAGAAAAATGAATGAAGTAAATATCTAAGAAATCTTTTATATGACAGGGCAAGTCACCTATTTATGACATAACAATACAACATAGGTACCAAAATTGAATTACAGATTTGCTCAAACCACAAGGTGCCATTTAAGTGAAAAGAGGGTTGAACTTACTATATTCAAAAGAAAGTTTTGCCCAGGACTTTGCTACTAATCTGCTGGATTACCTTGAGCAATTATAAACTTTTTAATTTGTATTTATGGCTTTCATTCTAAATACAAGGAAAAAACTTTTAATTTTATCTTAATTGGCACATACAGTACATCTTTAAAAACCCGTTTCCTTACCAGAATACTTTAGTTACAATCAATGGAAGGAAGGGTGTTTTCTAATGGAATCATTTTTTATGATTGGTCTACTGCCCAGCAGGATTTTAAGACTGCTCTGCAGTCAGCCACTTATCTGTGTTCCACTGGCTTGGAGGAGTGGAAGTAAAGTAGGATACAGACAAAGAATTGCTTTTAGTCAT